AAAAACATTATACCCTGATTTCCCATTTTCAATGGGTTCAGGGTATAAAAATTCATACCTTAGAGCAAACATATCGCAACTGATGCTGCACAGTTAAAAAGCACGACACGAACTCAACTCTAGGCCATGGTGCGAAATGTTGCAATCAAAAATTGGCTGCCCACCCACTGCAGAGCCAAAGCCAGAACCAGAGACGGTGGCATCTCAGCATGGCCACCAGAGAGATAAAAGGCAATGCTGCTCTAGAGTCTGCCACATCTACTCGTTAAGGGGCAAAACTTTTGATGCTGTTTGTGCTGTTGCGGACTTTTCACATTTTGTTTGCTGCTTCATCCAATACGTTGAGCGTCCCTTTTGGCTGTTTTGTTTTTGTTCAAGTTGTTGGCTTGATTCCACTTTGATTTCAGTTTCAGTTGCACGCTCTGTCCATGCCCATAGCCATGCCCGCGCCCCGGCCCGGGCTTATGATTGTGTGCGGGTCGAGGACAGCGCAGATTCTTTTTGCCACTCGTCTCTTTATGCCAGTCAATTCTGACATATTCCACGTGATAAAAACTCTGATTGGCCGCTGGCGCTCGACATGATTTGCATATTTATTATTATATGATTTCGAGTCAAGCCGAAGAAGATCTTCGAAAAGTTTGTAATCTAAAATTTGTGTGCATGCCCGGCATTGGCAAGTGCGCAAGGTTAAAACTAATTAAATTTAGCCCGATGGCAGCCAGATTATTCATTTGGCTGTGGCACAGATTCGCCGCTCCATGCTCCACGCTCCACGCTCCACGCTCGACGGCGCGACAGCTTGACAAATGAATGTGGATGTCAAATAGCTCTGATAACTTGCCAGCAATGGCGGCCCTTGGCGCGTAACAAATGGCGCAGCCAATTTCGAGGTGTGGCCGCCGCAATATATGAGGGGTGATCAGGGGAGAGGAGGATGTGGGTGGGTGGGCCCCAGCCAAGTACAAAATAATTTCCATGCCCGGCACGCGCACAAACACACCGAAAATCATTAGAGTGTCGGGTGGTTGAATCGTCGTCCATCGCATATTAGAGTAATTAAATGGCAAACGCAAAACTTAATTGGAGCGTCCATTTGAGTGTCTTTCATGGCTGTCTGTCTCGGTGTGTGTGTGTGTGTGTGTGTGTGTGAGTGAGCTGGCAATAAAATAAAAAAAAGCCACTAAAAAAACTTAACTTGAACGGCCGCCATTTTGCAAGCGTTGCACTGTGCGTGCCTATTTATTTAACAAATTAGCATAATTGTTCACAAAATAAAATTCAACTTAAGTACAAATGATGTCCACCAACTGACTGACTAGCTGCCTAGTTAGACTCGCTCTCTCTCTCTTTCTCTCCCTCTCTCTCTGCCTGTCTTGTCTGACTTTCTGACCGTAGAGCTGTTAATTAACATGTGGGTGCAGGACGCATCCCGTGGCGCAAATTAGTTTGTACGCCATGCTAATTGCGGAATGGCGTGCCAGTCCACATTGAAAAGCACGCCATGTAGTTCTCGTTGCTGTTGCTGTTGCTGTCGCTGTTGTTGGCTGGAAAATATATGAAAATTGTTTTGACTTTAGATAAGCGACAACTAGGAGGAGTCAAGCGAGCCGGTAGCCGTGCGCTCCATGTGTGCCGTGATAGACGCGACGCGCTAAGCGAAAGGACAATAAATTTTATGACATCCAGTTGAAGACAGTCGCTGGCACTTAAAAGCCACTTGGCTACTTTAATTACTTTGTTAAGCCAAAAAGCAAACAGCTGCTCTAGTGGACTGCAACGACTCGATATGATCTCGATCGCGAACGCCGCCCGCCCATCAGCCCTTTGACTGACTGACTGACTGGCTGACTCCTGCCTCAGCCAGCACGTTGTAGCACAAAGAACATTGTCGGACTCTGGGTCTGGCTGCTGAATAGCATTTGTGTTTGTCCATCTGCGATAAGCTTTGTCGCCAGTTTGCTGAAAACACGCAATGACAACTTAGTCAAGTTCGCGCTACCTATGATGTTGTCCTCCGTCTGTTATTGTTGCTTTGTGCGATTTTGAGTGCTACTCCGACTCATATACGATTACAAGACCAATTTCGAGCACACACACACACACACACATGCATAGACAGACAGGCGAGTGCCATCAACATCAATGTCCAGTTCGGGGCGTGTCCCACTTCTCTTTCAGCTGAAAGTTTTCATTGTTTAAAGTGTTGGCCGGCACACAATTCTTATTGTTGTTACTACGAAAACGTTTATGTTGGCCTCAACTTATCGTGCAAGCAATTCAACAAATGACTAATACGCTCCAACTCCGACTGATAAAAGTGGCAATAGACATGCGGCCATATGTGTACAAGCTTTTCAAATTGGCAAGGATTCCAAGGCTTGATTGACTTCATTAAATTGATTTATATTTGCATATGTATAAAAATGCGGCAAAGCATGAGCTGGGCTGCGCAACGGAGACTCATGTAGGTCAGAGTTCAAATAGGTATCCAGTATTTAGGGTATATATTATACATGTATACATATGTATGTATATCAAATTGTAATTGAGTCTATTATTAAACATTCGTCATTCATTCAATCGATATCTGGCAACCTCCAAACGGAATTTAGAATTAAAATATTCTTCAATTAAAACGCTTTTGAATAGTCTACAATATATACATATATATACATAAATAAATATGCAGGTATGTCTTTATTTCCATCAAAGACAAATCGGAACTTATATTTTTATGTCTCTATTTCGAAGTAAAAATGTATTAATTATCAGAGGCAAATTAAGGTTTACTTCTTTTACTTTAATTAAATTGATATCAAATTTTATTTAATTACTTTCCTGTTATCTTTGGAGTCAACAGTGTTCCAAAAAGTTTAGCTTAAAATTCAAATTAATTCACAGACAAATTAAAGCTCAGCTTGAAATTTGAAATCACTTTCCAATGCAACGCTCTTAATTTAGCCAAGACACAAACCACAAAAGAGCTTTTACCTTCGTACGGAAATCTCATACAGTAAAAAGCCGCCCTTACAGCAAATAGGTAAACTGATGTAGAGGCACACACGACACATACACACGCGCGCACACACATGGCTGCGTATCGCACACATTCACATGCACATAGTCTGCATGCGTGTGTGCACGTCAATGCGTAAACACACACTTTATGCCGTGGGTTCGTCCTTGCCACACAGAGCGAAGCGTGCTGCGATTTATGAGCGCCTGTTCGAAAATCTACCACGAAAGAATGTGTGCAAGTGTGCGACAAGTAAAGATGCGTCAGTGTGCGAAGGCAACGCACACACACGCGAGTAGGCAGAGACATGTGTGTGTGTGTGTGTGTGTGTGTATAAGACGTGAGCTCACGTGCGAGCGTACAAGGATAAGGGGCGTGTAAGCAAGCAGTTTTGACCTTGAGGTGTTTACCAGCGCGCGCACACACACAGTCACAATCACAGTCGCACACTCACACCTACACACCCCCACACACATGCACGCGCAGCATTTCCACCCCTAATCCCACCATAATGTAACAACGTAGTAATAAATGGCAGCGCTGCCTGCGCTGTCCGCCTGTTACGCTAAGGTTGCTCCTAGTTACGACGTAACTGTTAACCGGTTTTGGGCTGTCTGTTGCTGCTGCTGCTCTGCTCTCGCACGCTGG